TAGGACTTTTATTCAGCTTGTAACGGGGCTAAGGGTAAAGGGGCAAACAAAGGGTATAAAGGACAAACAAAAAGAGATATATTATACTTATTTTGATCAGGAACTCAAAAATTACTACAAATGTAACTATGGAGCAAGGTAAACAAATGAGTCGAAAAGGAAAAATGACAATTATTTTACAAAGAGTACAGTAAATGGTATAGGCATTTTTTATTTATTTTTTTTTATGCCCAAGAAGAATAAATTCTAAAAATCTAAAGAGTTCAAGATTAGTGTGCTTCTTCTTTTTTTCAAATTTTTTTTTTGTTTTTTTCTTTTTTATTTAACTTTTTTTATTCTTTTTTTTAAACTTCTCTTTTTTTTATTCTTTTTTTTGAAGGCACACTAAGTTATTATTATCATTACAAAGAAAAAGAATGTACAACTTTGATACAAAAGAAAAAAAACGACATACTCAATTATTTACAAAAATACACAGTGCTCCAATTATTAACTTTTTTTAAGTTCCTTCTCAAATAATAAGACAATCTACTCTAGGGTGGAAGGATAATTTATTTTGGCAAAATGGTTTAGGGTTAAATATTTACAAGGTAACAAGAAAAAAATGACAAATAAGAGATAAGTGGTAAAACTTATTTACAGAAAAAGGCTCAAAAGGGGACAACTAGAGATTTTTTTTTTGAATTGGGTAGGCTTGGTTTGAGAGGTTAAACAAAGATGGCCTATATCATGTCTAAATGTGTCAAATTAAAATATCATTTCATGGAGAACAAATGTGAAACATCATGTTCTATAAAAGTTATAACTATGTTTAGCTAGTAAACCAATAAATTGGAAAAACTCTTTGGTATTCTATGTTAAATTATTAACAGAAATTAACTCAAGGCTCAGACACAGTTACTCTCAAGATGTTATAATGAAACAATTCTCAAACTCATACCACATTCCGTCAAAAGAGATGATTTTGTAATTTACAATGTTATGTATATAAATATTAACAAGACATATAAACAAAGAATTTGTAAGTTCAATTTTACTTTTTGGATCAAGACTATTCATCATTCAACTCAAACACACAAAAACAAAACAAAAATGAAAAATATTTTTTTTATTTGAAAATACACACAAAAAAATCAAGTTTTATCTACCCACTCCCCCACACTTAAAATTTACACTGTCCTCATTGTAGAATAAATGAAGGAGAATTAAGTAAACAATTCCTGAAAAAATTGGTAAATTGATTTTTTTTTGTACATGGCGTGAATTGGAAAACGCCTTATTGAAATTCAATTACCTTATTAAAAAAATGCAGAATTTGAAAACTTGAGTTGCCTCCCAAAAAGCGCTTATTTATGGTCATTAGCTTGACCAATGCAATCACTTATATTCAGGCATTTTGAGGAAATAGAGTAGCATTCTCTCTTGGTGATCGTTGGCAAGATAACGCTTAAAACGTTGCCCATTTACAATGAATCTGGCGTTATCTTTGCCACAAAGTTGCACAGCTCCGTAGGGAAATGCTTCCACTACCTCGAATGGTCCAGACCACCGGGTCCTCAGCTTGCCAGGGAACAATTTAAAGCGAGAGTTATAAAGAAGTACCTGGTCTCCTGGTGCAAAATCTCATTTAGAGATTACCTTGTCATGCAGTTATTTGGTTCGCTCCTTGTAGATTTTGGAATTTTCATAAGCTGCGAGTCTGAACTCCTCGAGCTCATTCAACTGCAACATTCTCTTTTCACCCGCCAATGAGAGATCCATGTTGAGATTTTTAACAGCCCAAAATGCTTTGTGTTCTAGCTCAACAGGAAGATGGCATGCCTTCCATACACAAGATGATATGGGGAGGTGCCAATGGGATTTTTGAATGCGGTGCGGTATGCCCATAAAGAATCGTCAAGCTTGTCAGACCAATCCTTTCTTGAAGGATTAACAACCTTCTCAAGGATGCTTTTGATTTCTCTGTTTGAAAGCTCGACTTGACCATTTATTTGCAGGTGGTACGGGGTCGAGAGTCGGTGATGAACCCCGTACTTTGCAAGAACTCGTCCCAATGCTTTATTGCAAAAATGGGTGCCATTGTCGGTGATGATTGCTCTTGGGACTCCAAATCAAGAGAAAATGTTCCCTCGAATAAATTTGATCACCGCTTTTGAATCATTTGTGGACGTGGCAATTGCTTCTACCCATTTTGATACATAATCCACAGCCACGAGGATGAATTCCTTTCCATTTGACTTCGGAAATGGGCCCATGAAATCAAGGCCCCATACATCAAATACTTCAACTTCAAGAATGCCCCTTTGAGGCATTTCATTTCTCCTCCCGATATTTCCAGTGTGTTGACAACGGCCGCAGCTTTTAACAAAGGTGTTGGCATCCTTGAAAAGAGTAGGCCAAAAGAAACCAGATTGTAACACCTTTGTTGCTGTGCGGGATCTACCATGGTGTCCTCCGTAGGCAGAAGAATGGCAATTATGTAAGACATTTGTAACTTCATCCTCGGGCAAACATCTTCGTATGACTCCATCAGCACAAATTTTGTAGAGGAATGGTTCCTCCCAGATGTAAGTTTGAGAGTCATATTGCAACTTCTTCTTTTCTGCATGAGTTGCTCCAGTTGGAATTATTCCATTTGAAAGATAATTTGCTATGTCAGCAAACCATGGATAAATGCTTTTAGCCAGCATAAGTTGTTCTCCGATGAAGTAATCATTGAAGCCGTATCAAAAACGAAGCCCTTAAAGGTTGGAACTATTCACCAGTCGTTGGTGTAAAAGGCTGGGGAAAGCCAGAAACTAGAGGTATAGTTTAAGAACATCATTTTCTTAGGTAGAATCCTCGGAACCAAACCTCAGAAAGAAACGGTACTCCATTTTGATAGCAGCATGATCAGTGTACACAATAATTTTGCTTCCAATGAGATATGATCGGAACTTCTCAATGGCAAAAACTACCGCAAGAAACTCTTTTTCAGTTGTTGCATAATTGAGTTGTGCATCATCAAGAGTATGACTTGCGTAGTATATGGCATAGACTTCTCTCCCCTTGCGTTAGCCTAGAACAGCTCCGACTGCATAATCACTAGCATCACACATGATTTTGAATGGTAAGTTCCAGTCGAGTGGCCTTATAATTGGAGCAGTTGTTAAGGCCGTCTTCAGCTTAGAAAAAGCTTCTTGACACAATCACCATCAAAATTAAAATCTACATCCTTGGATAGTAGATTTGTCAAGGGTTTTGAGATTTTAGAGAAGTCTTTGATGAAACGACGATAGAATCCGGCATGACCAAGAAAACTCCGAATTCCTTTTACAGAATTCGGTGGTGGCAACTTTTCGATGACTTCAATCTTTGCTGCATCAACTTCAATACCACTTTCAGATATTTTGTGGCCAAGTACAATTCCTTCTGTTGCCATGAAATGACATTTCTCCCAATTTAGTACAAGATTGGCTTCTTCGCATCTGCTCAGCACTTTGTCTAAATTCATTAAACAATCTTCAAATGAATTCCCATAGACAGAGAAATCATCCATGAATACCTCCATGATCTCCTCGATGTATTCTGAGAAAATAGCAATCATACACCTTTGAAAAGTCGCAGGTGCATTACATAATCCAAATGACATTCTCCGATATGAAAATGTGCCATAAGGACATGTAAATGTCGTCATTTCTTGATCATGAGGATGAATCGGGATTTGAAAGAATCCCGAGAAGCCATCTAGAAAACAGAAATAAGAATGTTTGGCCATTCTTTCCAGCAGTTGATCAATGAAGGGGAGAGGAAAATGATCCTTCCGAGTGTCTTTGTTTAACTTCCGGTAATCAGTGCACATGCACCAGCCAGTAACCATTCGGGTAGGAATAAGTTCATTGTTGTCGTTTTTAACAACGGTAATTCCTCCCTTTTTCGGAATCACATGAATAGGGCTAACCCATTTGCTGTCTGAAATGGGATAGATGATTCCTGCTCTCAACAACTTTAGCACTTCTTTCTTGACAACGTCTTTCATGTTTGGATTAAGATGTCGTTGGTGCTCAATGCTTGGTTTATGTTTCTCTTCAAGATAGATGCGGTGCATGCAATATGAAGGATTGATTTCGACAATATCGTCAATAGTGTAACCAATTATCCTCCGGTGCTCCCTAAGGACTTTAAGAAGCTTCTCCTCTTGTTCGGCATTTAGGGAAGAGTTGATGATCACCGGAAAACTAGAATCGGGCCCAAGAAAAGCATACCGTAAAGTAGAGGGAAGAGGTTTGAGCTCTACTTTAGGTATTTCATCATTTTTGGGCATAGGCTCCTCTTCAAGATTAAGGACTTCAAATTTTTCCGTTCCTTCCATTGGTTCGGAGAGATGATCTAAAATCTCCAAGCATGAGTTCACCATCTCATTTGATTGTTTCTCTTCAACAGATTGGCATATGGTGTACTCCATTGGATCTCTTGAGAGTAAATGAGATTCCTAAAGAGTTCCAAGAATACATGAATCAATGATATCCACGTTGAAACAATCAAGAACGCATGCAGCATTCTTACTCAGCTCTTGCACATTGAACTCGATCTTGTCATCCCCGATTTCAAGGATGAGTGTACCCTTCTTCACATTTATGATTGCTCCAGCAGTGGCTAGAAATGGTCTCCCGAGAATGATAGGAACTCGGGCATCTTCTTCCATATCCAAGACAACAAAGTCTCCTGGAATATAGTATTTATCGATCTTCACAGGAACATCTTCAAGAATGCCAATTGGGTATTTGACAGAGCGATCAGCCAATTGTAGTGCCATGGTTGTTGGTTTTGGATCACCCAAGTGTAGCTTTTGACACAAAGAGTATGGAATCAAGCTAACACTTGCACCAAGATCACAAAGAGCTTTGTTTACTTTAGATCCTGCGATGTAGCATGGAATTGAAAAGCTTCCAGGATCACGCAGTTTTGGTGTGATCTTATTTTGGATAATGGCACTGCACTCTTGACTCCTGGCCACCGTGAGAGGATTTTCCTTTTTCTTTGTTAAGATCTCCTTGAGAAATTTGGAATAAGAAGGAAATTCGGTGATGGCATCAAGCAAAGGAATAGAGATATCCTATTGCTTGATACGGTTCAAGAACTTGGTTCTTCGTTCCTCAATATGTGATTTCTTGAGTCGGTTTGGAAAAGGAATTGGTGGAACATATTTCCTTACCAAACCTTCATCTTCTTCCTTCTTTCCTTCTTTGATCTGAATTGACTCCGGCAGCATTCCAACAGCATCTCCTTTGACTTTGTTCTGAGGTTCTTCCTTGGCATCCTCCCTTATTTCTTCATCGGGCTCACTACTTGAAAGAGATGGAGATTGAAGTTGTTTCCCACTCCGAGTAGTGATAGCATTCATTTGTTCTCTTGGATTCTCAGGACAAGCTGGCAATTTTCCGGTCACCTTTGTTGAGGATGTTGATGCTTGACTAGAGATTTGATTTTCAAGCATTCTATTGTGAGCTCGAAGTTGAGTAAGCTCTTCAGAAATCTTCTTCAAGGTTTCGGCTTGGGCTAGTTGAGATTTGAGTAGCTGATCAACAATGTTATCCAAGCCGGGAGCCGATGGTGTTTCAGGAGTTGGCAAGATCGGCTTTTGTTGATTTGGAACATAGGGGAAGCTTTGGTTTTGCTTAACTTGTTGATTGTTAGCAAAACCTTGGCCACCTCTAAATTGTTGTTGCTGTTGATTGTGAAAGCCGGGTGGTGAACTCCGATAAGCTTGTGGGTTGGCAGCTCCACTGGGATTGCTCCATGAGAAACCAGGATGATTTCTGTTTTGTGAACTAAATCCGCCAAATGGATTTTGTTGTTGTTGTGGCCGGTTGTAGTTGACATAATCAACTTGCTCCATTGCATCCCATGGACATGAAGATTGATCATGTTGTCCACCACAGGATACACACATGAAAACAGGAACATGAGGCGGTGCTGGCGTAGTGTTTTGCACAGCAGAGACTTGAGCAATCTTTTAGATCATGCTCATCATGCTATCGACCTTAGCAGCCATGGCCGACATTTGATCAACTTCGTACATGCCTCCAATTTTGGTTGAGCGGATGGACGATCAGAGTACCATGTAGATCCATTTGTTGAGATCCGCTCAATGAGTTCTTCAGCTTCGTCAAGTTCAAGGCTCATGAATGATCCTCCCGCTGAGGCATCCAACAATATCCGTGAGTTTTCATTTAGGCCTTCATAGAAAGCCGTCATTAAGTGCCAGGACTGGATATTATGATGTGGGCATTGCCTTTGAAGATCTTTGAATCTCTCCCAAGCCTCGTAAAGGGGCTCGTTTGGATTTTGCTTGAAATTTTGTATCATCCGCCTGATCTTTGCGGTTTTGGAAGGCGGAAAGAATCGCTTGAGAAATTTGCCGTGAAGCTGGTCCCAAGTTGTGAAGTGATTGTCTGGAAATGAATCCAGCCAGCTTTGAGCTCTGTCCCTTAGAGAGAATGGGAACAGACGGAGCCTGATTGCATCAGTTAGCGCACCATTGATTTTGAATGGGAACAGACGGAGCCAGCTTTGAGCTCTGTCCCTTAGAGAGAATGGGAACAGACGGAGCCAGCTTTGAGCTCTGTCCCTTAGAGAGAATGGGAACAGGCGGAATAATGTTGTTGTGTTCCTGCACAGTTTCAAGAACATTGTTCCGTGGGACTTCCATTTTCTTTATTTTTCTTATTTCTTTCAAATATTTTTCAATTTCTGGAAAGAATAATTTTTCTTGATTAATCCCACGTGAACGCGTTAGCATAAAAAGAAAGGGATTGGGGAAGGTTGGAGAGAAAGGGGGGGGGGAAGGAAAAAAAATGAAAAGAGAAGGGAAAGGGGGAAAGGAAAAAAGAAAAAAAATGTAATGTGCAAAAATTAATAAAAAGGCTCTCACTTAAGTCAAGAGGTAAAAAACACCAAGACAAGTGATACCTTAGTTAGTAGTTAGCGGTTAAAGTGCCAAGCGGTAATAAACCAACGAGGACACTAAAAAAATAAAAAGAGTTAGCAATGGTATATAGATATATAATATATAATATACAATATACAATATATATAATATATGATATAATATATAATATATAATATATATAATATATATAATATATAATATATAGATATAATTTCCAATAGCGGCTTTGCACGCCTGGAAAGAAAGAAAAAAATGCAGAAATGTAAAGTGCAGTAATTAAATGTACAAACCCTGTGACGGCTTTGCCGGTCAGCGGGAAAAATAAAGAAGAAAAAAATGTCCAATCACCGGTGGCGGAAAATCCGACCTGTGGGATAGTCTAATATGTCCAATATGTCCAAGTCAATATGTCCAAGTCCAATGAGTGTTCAAGAGTAAAGGAACTTAAAGGAATTTTTTTTTTCGTTTTTTTTTCAATTTTGGTTATTTTTTTATTTGTTTTGTTTTAGTTTTTCTTGGTTATTTTTGTGTTTTTTTAGTACCTGCAAGAAGAGGTTAGGAAAACAAAATAATAACAAATATTTACAACAAATAAACAATAAAACTTATGTTTAAAATAAAAAACTCAAACCGTCTCCCCGGCAACGGCGCCAAGTTGATTTGCAGTATAGAACGGGCAAAAATAACAACTAAAAAGAATCCCTTGTAAGTAGGGTGTCGAACCTCAGGGAGACGCGAGTTAATTTAATTTAAACAAAAGTTTACAAAAAAAGTTGTAAATTATTTTGGTCTTTTTGGTTTTAAAGATAAAAATAAAAAGTATAAAAGAAGACAATTCCAAACAACACAAAGTTTTTGATGATGAAAAATTAGGGGTAGAAATTGGTAAATTAATTGTCCAATGTTTTTATGAAAGTTGGATTGTCAGTTTACTTTTATATAGAATGTGTGGGATTGCAGAAAAGTATTTAGGGACGCTCTCGCAGTTCACCTAAATAATAACTACTCCGACTTTAACACGCTAGTGATAAATCCAGAGTAATTATTTTGTATTAACGACAACCATAATTATTTTATTGTATGTTTACCCAATTTAATGGTGTAAAAATACAACTCAATAATTATGTCCACCCGAAAGTCTGAAATCCCGGTTAAAGGTAGAGAGGGCTTACGGTGTAATTAAAAAGTGTTCTATTTTATGATTATTTCAATTTTAGCTCAAATTCCTTTTAACAATTATGTTTATGATTGGGCCCTTAATTAAAAATCACAAACATTTCAAATTTATTTATTTTTAAATACAACATCTAAGTAAAAATAAAATTAACAATCCATGTTAAAAATATTTAAAACATTAAGATGGACATTTAATTACACCAACTTCTAACCCCAATGGAATTTAGAAGTTCATAGTTTGAAGCTTAAACAAATAAATATTTATTACAATAATAAAAATCTTACAAAAATGGAAGATGTGTTCTTGAACTCCAAATGTAATGGTGATGATGATGAAGATGGGGCGAGATATTAGTGATGGAGGAGGAGAATTTCGGATTGGAGAGAGTAGAGAAGTGGGGGGTTCCAACCTCTTTGAAGAAGAGAAGGGTTGGGTTTTTATAGATGAATTCGTGTATACGGAGTATATACAAACAGTCCCACAGTTAACACAAGCACATGGAAATGAGGTTGCTTGTTGTGCCGCGTGATTCCGTGTTTGATTCCCTCCAGTGTCGGTGTTTTGTCATTTTTTTTTCTCTCAATCAATGGCCGAATTCCATTTAAGAACATTTTCCGTGTCCGCCAATGATTTGCCGAATGATCAGCTTTGGCGCGATGGTCAAATCTCCGGTTTCACATGCGCACGTCCAGAGTTCGAATCTCCGGTCTGTTTTATGCTTTATTTTTGTTTAATTCCTTCATTCCTTCAAATCTCTTCCATTTATTTTGGTCCCAAACTTCCATATTTATTTTCCGTTCTTGAAATTGTTCTCAATGCGTCCAAATGACTTCAAAATACATGCAAAAATATAAAACCAAGCATAGGACTGCTCTCCCAAAATAAAACGGAAAATTGAAATAAATTATAAATATTAAATTCAATTGGAACTCAAAACTCCTTCAAAATATGTCTAAAAAGTGTATAAAATATGTGCATATCAACTATACTTATTTTGATCAGAAACTCAAAAAATATATATGAATAATAAATTGTTTATTATTTTAGTATTATTATTAAGGCACGAAATATATATTTTTATATATTTAATATTTGGACATTTTAATTATATGATAATTAAGTTTGTCAAATATTATTTAAGGAACAAAATATAACATTATTATATATATATATATATATATGTATATGTGCGTGTATGCATATGTATATATATCGCCGTATATATATGTATATATACGTTTATGTATATTTCGGATATACATAAATAAATGTTATATTATTTATTTTGTGTTAATTATATGATAATTAAAGTTGACAAAATTAATTGGAAGCTTCCTTAAAGTGCCATTTGAAATTTCTTAAGTAGAATAGGAATGGGATTTGATTTCCTTCCTAAACTCTAAAAGGTACATTCCTATTAGGAATAAGAATGAGGGTTATGCTCCTTATAAATAAGAGATCATCCCACCCTTTTTAACAGACAAGGAATTTCGGCCCTAACACAATTTTAAGAGAGAAAAATTTGTTTTGTTCTCTTAATACTTTACACCAAATATTTTATATTTTAGAAATATTCTAGAGTAAAATTACTAGCATAATTTTCTCTAGAACACTCTTCGTTGTTCGTGTGTCTCAACTGGAGATCATATACTTTTGTGGCTAACTCTTGGATCAATCCATCAACCTACACATATCGTTACTTGTTCGCCAATAAAGGTATATTTCTAAACAATAACTTATAATAATCATAAGAGGTCCTGGGTGGATCTACGTTTGGACCTAAAATTTTTATATTTCCGCTGCGCTATCCAAGTTTAGAACCCAACATTGGTATCAGAGCCGACTTATGAGAATTATAAGTTTTGTAGGTCCTGGTTTACATTGGTATGACGCAAAATCCGTAACAATGGATACTGAGTACGCCCCGCTTGGTTTACATTGGTTTACATTGGTATGACGCAAAATCCGGAACACATGGTTAGGTTAATAAATAAAATCAAATTCATCTAACCTAGAGTTGTAAAATGTTACAATTGGAAAAAGGTTCCTACCTGAAATAGTTTAACTATTGGGCAAGATGCAAAGCACAACTATAGTTAGATGAAATAAGGATCTAGGCCCAATATATGATTTTATTTAGAACAACCTAACAAACCAAGGATTGTAATTGGATTACAATTGGAAATAAGTTCCTACCTAATTAGTTTAACTATAGGGCAAGATGCAAAGCACAACTATAGTTAAATGTAATATGGACCTTGGCCCACTAAGATATCTCTTAGGAGAAGTCTCGAATCAACAGGTTACGTACTTGAGGGTAGTTGATTTGTTAAAATAGTGGGAGAGTTGTTAGTTAAAGACCTAGCTAATTACTTAGATTCTTGATATTAACTATCTTGCAAATTATATGTAGATGTCTAATAAACCTCACTCTTCGCTCAATCCTCGACAAAGATAAGTTGACCGGGTCTAACTTCTTAGACTAGCAAAGAAACCTCGTTATCGTTCTTCGACTCGAGAAGAAAGAATACGTGCTCGAATGAGCTATCCCTGGTGGTTCCAAAGTGGTGAGATACAAAGTCTAGAGGGGGGGGGGGGGGGAATAAACTTTGTTACAAATTTAAAACTTTTTCGTTTCTTTTGAAAACGTGAAAATGAGTGTAGATCTAGAGTTCTTGTGAACTTTAGATTGTGTGCGGAATTTGGTGAGTAGTATGAGCAGTAATCAATATGGATGGGTTAGTTTTCACAGTTAATATAATTGCAAGTATAAGTAAAGATAAGAGAGAGAGACACGCAAACTTTAACGAGGTTCGAAGGTGGGGTAATCCTTCTACGTCCTCAAAATCCACTATGTAGTTGGTTGTTGAATAATGAACCAACAATTACACTTGTGTGAATTTCTGCACGGTATATCTTCGCAAGGCCAATGTTGCTACTGCACTCGTGCTGGCTTTGTTGTTCCTTCGAAGGTCACGCTTCTTCAACAACTGCAAGATCCGAACAATAGGACTTGCAAGATCAACTTGTAAGAAAGTTGANAGAGAGAGACACGCAAACTTTAACGAGGTTCGAAGGTGGGGTAATCCTTCTACGTCCTCAAAATCCACTATGTAGTTGGTTGTTGAATAATGAACCAACAATTACACTTGTGTGAATTTCTGCACGGTATATCTTCGCAAGGCCAATGTTGCTACTGCACTCGTGCTGGCTTTGTTGTTCCTTCGAAGGTCACGCTTCTTCAACAACTGCAAGATCCGAACAATAGGACTTGCAAGATCAACTTGTAAGAAAGTTGACCTACCCCCTTTTTAATCAAGAAGTTTGATCAAAAGTTATATCCTTCAACGTGGTGTGGTACTTGAGGCAAGGAAACCTTCAAGTGTTTACACTATAGCTCTTTGGAAGGAGGAGAAGTTTGCTTCTAGGTAAGGAGTTTAGAATTGATACATCCTCGGGTACCACTACGGAACCCGAAGTCCTTAAACAAATCAACGGAATAATGTCTAAAAGTTATGATCCTTTCTGGAATGAATTTCTCACTACCAAACCATACAACCCAACCATAATAACCTTGGTCCCATCCCCACCTTAGTTGACCGAAACTACACCCCAAAAATCAATCCCAAAACCCTTTTCAAAATTCATACCCTATTGTTCTCTTTCTCCTTTCTTGTGGCCGAACACACACCCCTCCCCCACATAATCCCACTTTTTTTTAGCTAACATAAACAACCAAAAAACCATATTAACTCCCCTGAAAATCAGCCCATCCCTGCCTAAACATTGAGCCGAAAACAAGAAGCCAAACACCTGAAAATCATGCTCCCAACATTAACCAACATATGGCCCTACCTTGTCTCCTATAGTGGCCGAAATTCCAAGGTATAAAACACCAAAGGAAATTTCTCATCGTCTGACCTTGTAACCACCAAATTTCCCAAAATAATATTCCAAAATACTCTCATTTCACTCACTCCCTTTTGCCCCCTAGGTGGGCCGAAACACCCCATCCCAACCACCAATCCTTTACATCATATTATCCACTCCCTTTTGTCTCCTAAAGCTGCCAAATAAAAGTCCTTCTCAAAATCACTCAAATATCACCCAAAATTCCCCTTTATTCCTTGGTCCCAAATCCCACACTAATGGCCGAAACTTTCCCCCTCAAATCCCCATCCATATCCTTTGAATTCATTCCACATAAGGACATAAACAAATATATGTTATTTTAAGTGATTTGAATTAGTAAGGTGCTTAGCATTTTCCTCCCTTTTTGCTTGTTTATATTTCGGCCATAAGCCCCCATTGTAAACCCATTGCATTTTCTCAATTTCTGGTAGTAATACATTTGTTGTATGCTATTTTAAAAAATCCCAATTTCTATATCTTAAGGTTGGTTCCCTTAAGTGTGAGTGTTAGGTTCTAGTTATTTAACTGAGCGTGTAATATCTTAATTAAATTCTAGACTCAAACCCCAAGTGAGGATAAGAGTGTGTTATATCTCTTAAAACCTACTTGGTTTTTATCCCTTTCCCCTCTTATTTTCCCTTCCAAAATTTCGGCCCTCCTTAAAAGCACAACCAGCATCCCCCCTTTTTCTCCCCTATTCTTATGCCTTTAAACCATCTCAAAAATTAACCCTTCAACCTCCTCCATATACTCGACCAGTCTACCCCCTACCCTTCCAAACCTAAGCTTAAATATATCATTTGGTATCAGAGCCTAGTTGTTAAACATCTATAAGGAGCTATAACACACTTCCCTCCCTCCTTTATTTTTCCTTCCTATTTCGGCCAGAATCACCACCTCTCGTATCCTCATTTCTCATCACCATGTCAAACCAATCCCAAACCCTCACCAATGAAGAACTTCAAGCCTCCAACGATGCCCTGAAAGCTCAAGTGGAGTACTTAGCAAAACAAGTGGCTCAACTCACCAAAATGAAGCTGAAGATGATGGACACCCCTGAAGAGAGTGATGAAGAACAAGAGCTGGAAACACACCCTACGGGAGATTCCAACACCAACACCGGAGGAAGCGTTCATGAAAAAGGAACCACGGACTTCAAGGTTGACCTTTCGACATTTGAAGGCAAGAACGACCCCGATGAATTTCTAGAGTGGCTCGAGACAGTTGAGCGTGTCTTTAATTTCAAAGACGTGCCCGAAGACAAGAAAGTGAAGCTTGTTGCCCTTAAGCTTTGGAAATATGCATCAACATGGTGGACCAACACCTCCACCAAAAGAAGGCGTGAAGGCAAGGCTCCCGTAAAGACGTGGTTAAAGATGCGTGCCTTGATGAAGAAGAAGTTCCTACCCGAACAATATGTGAGGGATAACTTCGCACGGTTACAACAACTAAGGCAAGGCACTCGGACAGTGGAGGACTATACCCGGGAGTTTGAAGAACTTTTGATGAGGTGTGACCTCCAAGAAGATGACTCACAAACGTTGGTCCGTTATTTGTTTGGGCTTAACACACAAATCGCCAACGTGGTGGAGTTACAAACCTACGACACCTTTGAAGAACTTTCCAAACTAGCTCTTAAGGTTGAGTCTCAACTTAAGAGAAGCAAAACCCCTTTTGGCCGTCCCCCTCCCTTCTCAAAAAACACACAAACTACACCCCGTACCACCCCATATGCCACGGCCCAAAACCCCTCCTCTAAACCCAACTCCATCCCTTCAACTTCCAATAACCCGCCACCCCCAAAAACCAACCTACCCAACACCCGAGCTCCTAAATGCTTTCGTTGTCAAGGCATAGGTCATTATGCCAACGAATGCCCGAACAAGAAGATTATGGCCATTGTGGAGTATGAAGAGGAAGAAGACAGCCCCTCTTGGGTCGAAGAAGTAGCGGAAGAAGAAGAATGTCTTGGAGCAGATGAAGGCGAGCTCTTAGTCATTCGGAGAGCGTTGAGCAACTTGGCTGCCCCGGACGATCAATTGCAACGGGAGAATATTTTCCATACCCGTTGTACCATACAAAAGAAGGTGTGTTCATTAATCGTGGACAGCGGGAGTTGCACCAACGTTGCATCAAAGACGTTGGTGGAAAAGCTGAAGTTAAAGGCCTCACCACACCCTCGGCCTTATACCATCCAGTGGCTAAATCATGGTAAAGGATTACGCGTGGATTCCTGAACTCTAGTTTCCTTGAGCATAGGGAAAAGCTATGTGGATGACATATGGTGCGACATCATCCCGATGGATGCGTGTCATATCTTGTTGGGACGACCTTGGTTATTTGATCGAAGAGTTACTCACGACGGGTACGCCAACACGTACTCCTTCCTGGTCAACAAAAAGAAGGTCACCCTCACCCCCCTCNGTTTCTTTTGAAAACGTGAAAATGAGTGTTAATCTAGAGTTCTTGTGAACTTTAGATTGTGTGCGGAATTTGGTGGGTAGTATGAGCAGTAATCAATATGGATGGGTTAGTTTTCACAGTTAATATAATTGCAAGTAAGAGTAAAGATAAAGGAGAGAGACACGCAAACTTTAACGAGGTTCGAAGGTGGGGTAATCCTTCTACGTCCTCAAAATCCACTATGTAGTTGGTTGTTGAATAATGAACCAACAATTACACTTGTGTGAATTTCGGCACGGTATATCTTTTTTTTCAGGCAGCGTTGGCTTTCATTAGTCATATGTCGTAATGTACACCTGCTACCTTCTTTTTTTAATGATTTTACTGAAATATTTTATTTTTCTCTTTTATTTCCACTTACCATTATTCAATGAATTGTAATCGGCTTGTTTGTTCTTGTTGTATTTTTTTCTCTTTTTCTCATCTCTTTTTTTAGCCAACTACTACATACTCATTGCCAATTAATTACAAATAACAATATAACTGTATTTAGTTATTCACATGTCATAGATACAAATAATATCATTCTACAAATCCAAAAATTTTTTCACATAAGAAGGTTGCACACAAAGTACAAAATAATCATGATTCTAGGCTTTATTATAGAACCTAAGGCAACACCATTTCCATTGTATCTCATTGTATTTCTACATGTTCCACATTCAATAGTTATATATAAATTAATTACCCTCTTAGTAAAAGAAATAATTTGATACCCTATCTACTAACCTTCTACGGTCATTCCACAACATAATTGTCTAGTCCTCGGTAAAAGAAACTTATATCTTACTAGACTTGGGGCGTCCCCTTTTGTCTAGCAATAACTATTCGGTGGTAACAAACCGAATTACATCTGTGCACAGATTCTAAGATTCTAGATTGCCATTCAGTCTATCTATTGGCCTCTAACTTTGTATCTTGTATACTACCAATATAAGATTCTTGTATATGAATTTATAAACTATTTTCACAATATTTGAATAATGTGATTACACCAAAGGTAATATCTTGTATTTACTTCTTTTTTTTAATTTTCAATCACTATCAAAACCATGTGCTTTGCACACAAGTTTAAAGCCGAATTAAGATACCTGCTTGGAGGAAGCATTGAGACGTGGCCGTACATGTAGAACAAATTTTTTTTTGTTTTAAAAATAATTTTTCAATTCCCTTATTTCTTTCCATCAAATGTTTTTCCTCGATTCCTTTTTTTAAAGTTAGGTCAGAAGATCATTTTATAAACCAATTTCTCTGATACCAAAATGTAACACCCCACCCTGGATGACTCGAGTCATCCAGACTAGAATGCTAGTAAAACTGGGTTACTTTGTAAAATATGAATTTTCCGAAATATATTTTCTTTTTGATAGCTAAAGAGAATAAAAAAACGTTTTCTGCGTAAACTTAAAGTAAAAACATCCACAGTTAATACAACCTTGGGTTCAAGCCCAAAAATAAAGTAAATTTAAGTTCGACGTTTTATTCATTATTAAATATAAAAAAAAACTCTTTCGGCACGGCCTCCACGTCCATACTTTCCTCTTCAGCAGTTGTTTTCCTTGCTAGTACCTGCGTGCAGTTAAACACTACACGCTCAGCATAAGCTGAGTGGCAAATAACCAGTAGACTTACATAACATGTAAACATATTTTGGGCCTCTTAAGCTATTCAATTTATTTAAAAAAACATAATTAAAAAAATCATCGATGGAAATAATTTCAATTTGAATAATTACTTGGGGAGATTTAGAAAACTTTTGACTTACTTGGTTAACCACAGATTAGGAACTAAGCCGTGACTAGGCTGGAACACCGCACTAGTCGATTCGTAGTTTTACTTCGGATACCTCCACGTGACCTCGGGTCCAGTAATCAGAAGTGAACCCTAGACCCACGGGGTCATCGTTGGGTTCTCGTGCGCACGTTGTGGTATGATTATTTATAGGCTCATCCACATGGACACGGTCCGGCCTTGAAAGTGGTTTGACCCACTTGATAAAAACGTGACAGTACTTGGCAGAGTACGTCGATATATAATCTTGAAACTTTTACTTCGTCCACTAAATGTTTGGTTAACCCTAGTACGGTCATTTAAATAAAATACTTTTTAATGTTTTCAAACATAAACCATTTTGAAATCATTTAATGGTTCACGTCCCCTGTTGAATCAAAACATTTTATTTCGTAGATTTCTTCTTGCAAAGTAACATGTGTATACATTTTATCTACTTATTTCATTTTTGGCCTTTTCACTGTTTTAAATGAACTTTAATTAATTATTTAACTTCTTATGTCTTAGATTGGTTTTTTTTTTACTGACAAAGTATACATTATTGTTTAGATAGGAAAAATAAACCTTGTAACAATATCTTGAGTACAGCAAATATATAATACATGTTACAGTAGGTATGTAAAACAAATATTCAGTACTCCGTGGTTTATTGTTTTCACTATTGTCAACAATGCCATTTAGATATTCTTTTTTTTAGTGTATATAGTTAATTATTATTATTAGTACCATACATATGGTTCAATTAGTTTTCAAATACTCCGTGGTTTATTCTTGATTTGGAAAAAAACCATAAGAAAGAAAATAAACATTTTTTTTTAACAATACCGATTGTGTTTTTTTCCTGAGTGCACTAGTGTTTTTTTTACAAAAACAAGTTTTTTTCCTCTCTGGTTCGGTCAGCCATAGGAAGAAAGACATCACTGGAAAACTTTATCATATGTTTTTTTTACCGTACATATGTTTGTTTAATTTTTTTTTAAAAAAACATATTTTACATATATACAGATCAGATAAATGCACACAACAAAAGAAAAACTAGAACCTAAGAGAATATTCATATAAAACTTGTATGTAAGTTTATACGTATGAATGCAAGGATTTAGATTTAAAACAATATGCACAAAATATATGAACATGATATATATATATATATATATCTAAAGATCAGGGTCAACGGCACACCTTTGATATTAGTTAGACGAAATAATAGATTGATGAATGACGACGTTGCAAGATGATCGATCTCGTGACAGCATCGATCCCCCACGTCTCTCTCTCTCAACAAAGCCACAAACCGTTCTTAATCACCTACTCTCTAAATCTATACATCCTTTTCTTCTCTTGATGTGGTCATGAGTTTCTCTTATTATGAGAGTCTATTTATAGTGAGGAAGGAGAATTCTAGAAAGTGAAGGGGAAAGTGAAGTGATAATAACATATTTACATTAATTAAATAAAATATTAAAGTATAATTAAAATAAAAATGACCATATTCATTACCTCCATTATGAGGTTAATGAATGGGAAGTGAGTCAAATTTTTCCCTTGTGTTAGGCGTGATGTTCTAAAGAGGAAAACCAATGGTTTCTTGGTCCGTTTGTTTAATTACATGTCCGACTTCCATAGTTTCAGTTATTAAATATTTTTGGAAAAATATAAAACTTATACCGTTAAGTTCCATATTTTTAACACATCATTTTAACATAATTTATTTATCAAGAAAATAGGTTCACTTGAACAAACTATATTTTTCAGATAGTAGAGAACCAAAACTAATTTTATATATTGCTTTTACTCATCCCCTCTAACAATTTAATCATTAAAGCTTGTATTCTAATTTTTTTTTCAATATTTTTAAATAAAGAATAGTGACATATTTTTAAGGAACATTTTTTTTTAAATTTCAAGCATTTTTTTTCAATTTTTTTTTAAATTTTATTTTGTAGTAAAAAGTTAAAAAAAATTCTAGACCGGTTTTCAATTTTTTTTTAAATTTTATTTTTTAGTCAATGATCTTTGTAAGGCTGTTGAACTTAAGAACTTCCTCCAATCTCAAGATCAAATGAAGGAGATTAATGTTCAAAAAGAAGCTCTAGAACCTAAGACCAACCCTGAACCATTCAACCATCAGGTTCCGGTTCTAGAAGATTCACCCAGTTCAACACCATCACAGAAATCCAAGAGCTTAGCAACTATCGCTAGGGCTACGGCCTACGGTGGTGATGTTACTTGAATATCCTCCTAGCCAGGTCTTAACCAACATAGTCGTACATGAGGTGGAACCAACTAAGGGTCCTGACTCAGAACCACTTATGTTTATTCAAGAACAGAAGGAGGAGGAAATTTTGCCTATGGCAATAAACAACCATCTCTTTAATCCTCCAGAGAAGCCTGTTCTGGAGGAAATATAGCCCACTACCTACCCCCACGATTCCGACATCCAAGAGTCTAAGGAGGAATCTATAGATGAGGAATTACTTTGCACTGATAAACCAATTCCGTCTATAGAAACCTGCACAAATAATGATTCGTCTAAAGATTCAGACCATACCTTCTTTGATTCCCTACTTGACGGTTATGACCATGTCTGCATGAAGGATGGTTGGAAATAGGGGTGAGCATGGTACGGTATTTAGCTCGTACCGATACCGTACCAAATATTTCGGTTCGGTATGGGATTTTGCTCCGTACCGATCCTGATCCCGAAATATCNGACATCCAAGAGTCTAAGGAGGAATCTATAGATGAGGAATTACTTTGCACTGATAAACCAATTCCGTCTATAGAAACCTGCACAAATAATGATTCGTCTAAAGATTCAGACCATACCTTCTTTGATTCCCTACTTGACGGTTATGACCATGTCTGCATGAAGGATGGTTGGAAATAGGGGTGAGCATGGTACGGTATTTAGCTCGTACCGATACCGTACCAAATATTTCGGTTCGGTATGGGATTTTGCTCCGTACCGATCCTGATCCCGAAATATCAGTTTGGTATGGTTCGGGATCGGTATCGGTACAAATCGGGATAAATATACATGCCTACTTTACCCGTTAAAATTTAACAATACCCCTTTATTTTTGAAAATTAAAAGTGAATTTAAATAAAAAAATATGAAAAATTAAAAAAAAATGAATATTTAAATGCAAGAGATGCGTATCAAAACTTAGTTTGTATTTCACAAACAAAAAAATGAATGACAACAAAGGAGTATTTCGAATCTTTGTGAATACTTTTATATTCATACACAAAAACTAAAACTCAAATAAAAGTATAATTTACACATCATAACACTTGAACCAATTTTTTCTAAAAAATTCTTATTTAGTGAAGTAATATAAAAATATTACTTTGGGGTATTATTTTTGTAATATTTTAGTACTCCCTCGTCCCGCTATATTCGTCCATTTTTTACTTTTGGAACTGTTCATCTAAGCACTTTGACTCATCAAATTTTCTCAATGTGTAAGCCTAAATATAGTCATGTGTGATCTTGTTTGATTTATCTTAACATATAGATTTTTAATATATAATTTCTATAATTTTTTAATATACAAATTACAAGATAAAATGGATTAAAGAAGTGTATTGGATGGTGTGTAAAAATGAAAGTGGACAAATACTCTGGACGGATGTAGTATATATGTTCGGTACGGGATTTTTGGTATGGGGCGTCACCTCGTACCGTTCCCGAATACCGTACCGACCAATCGGTTCGGTACATGTTATACCCCTGGATGGCTCCACAAAAATCCCAACCCCTCCCAAATATCCAAAAGTATTTTATTTCCTTTTGATATCCAAAATAAAGTTTTTCCTACTCTTATTTTAGCCCAGGGCCGAAAATAAGAGTGTGTAAAATAAAACCTTTTGTTTGTTGTTATTTTCCTTCTTTTAAGCCTTTTATTCAACAAATAAAACCCTCCCTCTATTCCATTCACCCCTGGCCAAAATACACTTCACAATCCCAACATAAATACCCACAAAGAGCCAAACCCCTGACCCACCACTAGCCACTCATTTCCTGCCCATATTCCCTTACAAAAAACCAATCCTATAAGTCCAAAAACCACACATTATATCCCCCATCCCTGCCCCCTTTTATTAGCCAAAAACTACCCCCATTTTTACCTAAATAATAGCCACAAAAACCCAGGAAACAACCACTAGGAACCAAAACACAAACCCCCACAACCCCAGCCCCATCCCTGATTTTATCCCACTAAGGAGACAGGTTTGAATGGAGAATGCCCCATGCTTTGAGAGAGGATGTTTGTTATACCCAAGCTCAGGGTTTTATAAGCACAATCTTGTTAATGGCAGGGAAGGGGAAATAATCGATTGTCCAAAGTGGATAATCGACTATTAAGGGCTTCAGGTTCTTGGGTAGTTTTCTGGGGATTTTCTGGGAGGGGGGGTAATCGATTTACAGAAGGTGTGAATCGATTATGGAGAGCTGCAGGTTTCTGGGAAAGGCAGATTGTATTGAATGAAAAACCTTGTTTACTCTTTTGAGTATTCTCTTAAAATAGTGTGATACTATTTTAACCAAATTTCCTAATGAAATATCTCTAAAGTTGGCTACTTTTGAGTGTGTGTTAGGAGTCTATTTTATACATTAGTAGTGATTATTATTGTGTGTTTATCTATAGTCGGGGTTTATATTATTCTCACACAAATAGAGAATAAGTAATAAACGTTTATCCATCCTTGTTCTCTATCCATTTCGTTCCTCTCCATTTTCTCTTCCTATACCACATTCTATTCTATCTTCATAAATCAAAACACCAAAAAGAACTCCTTCATCACCGCCATATTTACCCCGTCATTTCCAACAATCAATTATCATAAAAGTGATAATCGACTATCGGGCATCTCAGAACATTCGTGGTTTGGAAATCATATCTTGTTAATCGATTATCAATTAATGATAATCGACTATCACGCGTTTCTGAACTTTGGAGTTCAAAGTTGTTTCCTTCTTGCTTCCATTTCCTCCGTAAACCCGCCATCAAATTGATTACTTGATAAGACCCTGGGTCTCGGGTACAACAATAAGGGGGTACATGGCAGGTCTAGGCTGTAGAATAAGAGTGGGGTTTGGGCTGGGTATCTTTGGCTCTCATATGGGGAAATAAAGTGAGTTGTTTATTTTGTGGTTTGTGCAAGGAATTTTGGCCAAAGGGAGGGAAATGGGGGCTAGGTTGTGGTTTGGATTTTTTAGGGTTGTTTTTTTGTGGTTTTGAGGTTCTGTGATGAATTTTCCCAAAAAAGATCATAATACCTAGTCATTGAAAGTTTAAAAGAATGAGATAACAAAAAAACAAAAGGTGTTGGTTTGCCTTCTTAATTTCGGCCATGGGCTAAAAATAAGTGTATGAAAACTTTATTTTTGAAAGGAATTAAATGGAAAGGAGTTTTGGATGTTTAGGGTAGGGGTGGGGGTTGCTGGTTCGACCTAGGTGGGCTGTAGAACAACCATGGTGTTGGTTTGGGTTCTAAGATAGGGCAAATGAGTGAATTCAACCCAAATAACATCACCACACTTTGGATTTATTCCCCGGATCTGTCTTTCCTTTTGTGGGCTAAGGAAAGTCTCCGTTGATGCTCCCGGATATCTAACAGAATATAGTAAAGTACACGAGAGCTTTTACACGAGAGTTTTAGTTAGTAGAAATCCGATCCCTTCTCTAAGGGGTACACAGGTAATTATAGTGAATTAGAGGAGACAAGGTGCCGCGCATCCACGTCAGGGCACGTTCTTGGGTGGTGTGAGGTGATTGCCTCCCGGGTGTGACTTCTTTGTTACGTAGTATTTTGGACGGATTGCCTGAGTATCTCTAATGATTCTCCGTTGAACTTGGCCGCTACAATCCAAGTTCCTTTAGATTCTTCCTTGCTGACACTCTCCAACCCTAAAAACCATACTCAGGATTGAAATTAGGGACGAATGGAGAAATAAAGTAGTTTCCCCGGTAGACTTTCTGAAGTGTATCGGTCAAACCTTTGGTCAACCAATCACCTTTTTACTGTTGTTTTAGGCCTCCCATTCTGAAAAATCAACCTTGACCGGCGGATATTTGAGCGGCTTCCTTGACCAGTTTTAGGTGGAATACACCCATCAACTACTATGTCGGAGTATTAACTATATGGATCGATGTTCACTACTATCCCGGAGTATTATCTATCACATCGAAACTATTCATTTACATTTTTGCTTATTTACTTTTTCTAAATATTCAAGGGCAAATGAGAAAATGAAAATAATTTTTACTTATAAATATGTATGTAAATTCAATATGGGAGGATAGATGGGTAGAGGGAGTAGTTAATTTTATGGGCATCCTCCGTCACGTAAAATAAATAAAAACCGTCTTAAATAGGACTAAAACATAGAGAGAAGTACCAAAATAGAACTTTCATGTTTTTCTTCCGAAATAAGACTTCACACTATGGTAATTAATATAGTTGTAACATGGCACTATACATGTGCACATTACTATACTTTTTGGTGATGTAAATGACAATGTTTGGTAATGTAAATGCATTTAAGTTCTTTTTCGGGAATAAAAACATGGAAGTCCTATTTTAATATATTTTCAATGTTTTAGTCCAACTTTGGTCTTTCTCCCTAAAATAAAGGCATAAATTTTAGTTCGAATCGTAAAATGTAGATAATTAAAATAAAAAGGAAATCAATTTTAGTACTTTTTTTAAGTAAATGAATTATTTATTTTATGGAAAAAATCAATTTTAGTACTTTTTTTAAGTAAATGAATTATTTATTTTAGTACCAACAAAAAACCAAAATGGAAATTTTATTTTGAAACTAATGGAGTAGATCTCATCGGTCCCAAGCTAAATATCTTATTGCAGTTTTTGATACTTGATTGAAACTGTTTTCCATTCCAATTATTTTGGTGGGAAATCAAAAAATAAAATGTATAGACAAAGTATTTAAGAACTACATGAAAGACTTTAAATGAAACAAATAGTGACATGAATATGTATATTTTTATTAAAAGAGTAATGAATATAAAAATAAAAAAAAGTAGATTAAGTTTTTGTGATCCAAATATCCAATCATGCAAGAAAGTTGAAGAATTAAATGAAAAGTAATTATATAAAACTGGCGCGCCATCTTAGCCGCCGTTAGTTAGAATGGTGTGAATAGAGTGGCAAAAAGAGAGCCTTAAGCGATGCTGCGCTCCTAACTTTCATCTCCTTAAAAGGCCCAACCAAACACTCTTTCTTCCTCTCACTCTTTATCTCCTTCTTAAATCTAACCAAACTCTCATGTTTTGATTAATAGATTCAAGTTTGTTAACTTGTTTTTTACTTTCTTTTTTCCCAAAAAAACAAAAAAGAAAGAAAAGAGTAGTGTGTGGTTAGCTAGCTGTTTGTCTATTGGAATAGTGTGTGATCATTTTCCTTTCACTCTTTTTTTATTTTTTTCTTTTACCCTGTGCAAAGAAATGGAGGCTCTTTTTCTTTCTGTGTCTTCTTCATCCATAGTCCGAAGAAGTAATTCTTGTTTCTTGATCAGAAAGCATGATGTATGCCGCATGCAGTCAGCAGCATTGAGGGTCAGGAACATGGTGCACAGCCAGGGTGGCAGTGGAAACAATGTTGTGAAATCAAGTAACATATCATATGTTGTGACAGAGAGGTCTGCCACCCTGGAGCAAGGAAGCAAGGCGGCTTTAATGGAGTCTACAGCAGGGAGCTTGATTTTGGCGCCAAACGGGAATGTCCAAACAGATGTTGGGATGAAGGATTTGGTGCCTTATGATGGTGGGAGCTCGTCAACAGCTCTCGTTGAGAAGCATGATGATGGCATTGGTATTGTCAAGTTCCTCCGGGGCAAATCTTTCCTCATCACCGGTGGAACTGGCTTTTTGGGGAAAGGTATGGTATACTCCTGTATTAC